ACGCTCTTGTGCTATATAGATCTTCGTCACGTATTTTCAAAAGAAAAGCGTCGGCGTGCTGAATGTTCAGAATGATTTCGTTATTTTTTGTCTACTAATCCATTTACCTTATCGAATTCTATGATTTTCAATTACTCTACCCTACATAGATTGCAAATTTTCTTCTACTGGTTTTCTTTACGTTTATTATTTTTTAAATATATCCCGTTCTACTAGTGGCGTATTCACTTATATTTTTTTACTTCCTATATTTGTTTCGACAACACGGTGTTAATTATTTATTTTCATAATTGAATGTTCGCAAATGGTTAAATTAGAACTTTTATATAGAACACGTAAGAATAGGAAAATGAAAATATTTACAGGGTACGGAAGAAATATCTCCCACCTATATCTCCCAGAAATGATTCTAGGACAACTGCCGGACGCACAACTGCCTTATAAGGACAATTGCCCGATGTAAAAAAATGCTCGATAGAGACAACTGCCCGACATATATATATATATATATATATATATATATATATATATATATATATATATATATATATAATGGACTCAACGTATGATGACCTGACAGCTTATTGATTCAGTTATGAAAGTTTGTGCGATAATCTTATGTGGCATTTAAGAACCGCTAGTGACTTACAAAGGTCTCATATGGAGCAAGTCTGAGCATTGTGAAATGGGATCCCTGTTAGAGTGGGTGACCTTTTAGATCTTGCTCTCGCTTCTTGAAGATGATTCAGATAAGCAGATTGAAAATTGCTGAGTCCACTAAAACACGTTGATCTCCATTTTACCCGCTTCAAAGCTAAGCGCCCAAGGTTGTTATGTGGTATATTGACTGCTGACAAGTTGCTTTTTAGCTTGTCTCTGTATCTTAGCCATGGGCGTCCTACATTCCTGTAGCCCTGATCTAACTGGCTGTACATTAGGATCTTGGGTATCCTGTCATCAGACATTCTCAAGACATGACCAGTACACCGTAACTGAGACTGTATCATAAAAGTCTCGATTCCTCCAATATTACACCTGTTAAGCAGGTCTACGTTAGATGTCCTATCTTGAAGCTTAACTCCACAGGTTGCACGCAGACAGCTTTTATGGAAAACATCTAGCTGGCGTATATGGTACCTGTATGGAGTCCACGACTCTGAGCCATACAAAAGGATGGCAAGTACAACAGCTCTGTAAACCCGAATTTTCGTACCCGGTCGAATACCCCGCACATTCCACAAGCGATGGCGAAGTTTACCGAAAGCACTGGTAGCCTTAGCAATCCGATGCATGATTTCATCATCTAAAGTTCCACTGTAGTTGACTTTGCTACCAAGATAGGTAAAAGACTTTACATAGTTCAGGGTTTTGTCTTCTACTCTCAATGGTCTCTCTGGAAATTTGTAGACTGGTGGTTTTTGTTTCTCACCACAGAATTGCTTCAGAGTAGGACAAGGTTGGTGCACTACTTCAGTTTTCTTTATGTTAAGTGTAAGACCAAAGACTTTACATGCAGAAAAGAAACGATTTATTAGATGTTGGGCCTCCTCAAAGGATGTCGCTATAAGAGCCGCATCATCAGCAAACAACAAATCACGAATAATATGCGTACGAAGGTGGGTCTTGGCTTTGAATATATATATATATATATATATATATATATATATATATATATATATATATTATATATATATATATATATATGTATTCTATATATATATATATATATATATATATATGGTATCAAATGACAATTGCAAATCTGTCTTGTCCACAGAATTCATCTGTGAATTTAACTATATATATATATATATATATATATATATATATATATATATATATATATATATATATATACAATATTTTTGCTGTTATTCGAAAGGGAGATAATAACTAACCCTTTCTTCCCTTTGGTTAGGTATTATCCATAATCTATATACCTATATATTATATTTTATATTATATTATATCTATATTATATTATCTATAATCTATATTATCTATATGTGTCGATGTGATGTTTACTATTTGTCGTATACAAAATATTTTTGAGAACGAAAAATTATGTCGTGAGTCTGCAAGAGTTGGTTTCTTTAATCTAAAATCATTTTTATTGTTAGTATCATTATTGCTTTCGTAATCAATATTTAGAAATTGTTATTTCTATTTGCATTATTTATATTATTGCTAACCTCGTTACCATTATTACTGGGACATTATTCTCATTATTGTAACGAGAAAAAAACAGCGGAATCATAAAAAATATATCAACGGTTTAAAGCTAGTGAAACTTACTTTTTAGTGCGATAAACAATTGCCAGTGCATATCACAAGTGAAGAATCAAAATATCGCTCTCTTCCTCTCTCCCCTCTCTCCCTCTCTCCTCTCTCTCTCTCTCTCTCTCTCCTTCTCCCTCACTCTCTCTCTTTAAAAAATTGCTTGTATTTTTCAATGTGTAACAAGAAGTTTTTCTCCCGGGAGTCGATCCTCCACATCTACAAATCAGCAATTCGCCCTTGCATGGAGTATTGCTGCCATATATGGTCTGGTTCCCCTTCTGTTTGCCTCGGGGTTCTTGATAGGCTCCAGAGGCGGATATGCAATGTAGTTGGCCCTGCCCTGGCGTCTCGTCTACAGTCACTTTCTCACAGACGCGCCGTCGCCTCCCTCTGTCTGTTCTACAAATACTTTAATGGCAATTGCTCCGAGGAGCTGCATTCGCTGGTTCACAGACGTCATGAGTTCCAGCGCATAACGAGGCTGGCATCCTGCTCTCACCCCTTCACTGTCGAGACTCCTAAATGTAGCCGTCTCTTCTACTCTAATCGCTTCATGTCTTGCATCTCTCGCCTGTTGAACTCCCTTCCCTATTCCAGTTTCCCTGAGAGCTATAATCTCCAGCTATTCAAATGTAATGTCAATCGACATCTCCAGTTGCCTTGATCTATCCACTACCCTTCTCCTCATCTTTTCTTCTATCACTCCTATCTGATCTTGCTCTAAACTTTCTGCAACCCCTTGCGTCCTAGTGGCTTCCGCCTTGCTTGGGGTGAAATGCTTTAAAAAAAAAAAAAAGAAAACTGTTATTGCACTGAAATTATACTATGTGTTATATACGAATATGATGTCGCTGTCGACACTTGAGTTTGAACATGGATCTCCAGCGAGCAAACACAGGCGATCCCATTATTGAATTAAAGTAGACCACGTGACCATAGAGGAAAGTAGCTGGCAACTAACGATCGCTATTTCTAGTCTATCCTCTATACTATACGGATCTGCACTTCTTGTCTATCTTCTATTACTATACGAACCGCTATTCTCTACTCTATTCACTATACTATTTCTCTATACGGATTACTGTTCGAATAAGTATTATCGAGCAAGTACTATCAGTGCGAGTGTTATTCGAAGGCGTTTGACACCACCATTCTTCAACAGCGTACTATAGTTTTATCTGCGATTACAAAGTCTCTACTACAACAAGCATTGCGAAAGTGACAATGAGTATTCGTTAACATCACAAAACTATATATACTTTACCTTTCGAATGACAGCAAAATATCTAAATATTCTACGTATATTTTTAAACATTGGGCATCTTTCCATCGGGCAGTTATAGGATATCATGGAGGAAAATGTGAGCAACGGTGAGGTGTTGGAGAGGATGCAAACAATGAGGAAGCTTTTACTTAACATCAGGAAGAGGCAGCTGAAATTTCTGGGACACGTAATGAGAGAGGAGGGCTTGGAGAATCTGATACTCACAGGGCGGATAGAGGGAAAGAATGGCAAGGGAAAGAAACGCGTTACATAGCGGGCTTAAGAAAGTGGGTGACAGAACAGGGTCTGGGAGAAGTAACAAAAGAACAAAACATTTTAGAGAAGTACAAGTGATAGGGTGAAGTGGAGAGCCATGATCGCCTACGTCCTGAAGGGACAGGGCACATAGAAGAAGAAGAAGGATTGTCCTTATCGCGCAGTTGTCCGTTGGGTTCTTGTCAGGCGAGCAGCTGTCCGGATACCCCTAGAAATACATCCCACATGAATTAAATCCGACAATTATTTAATATGTTTTCTGTTTATACATTATTTTTATGGATATAATTTATTTAAGTAAAGGCTCCGTTTTTAATTAAACAGTATTAGTTATATTTACCGGCCTGAATGTTCGAGAAATTTCGTAGAAAACAGGCATTCTCCAACAGGTAGCAACACAACAAGCTATATGTCGGTTCCCATAAGATTTACAGGTTCGATTCCTGTCGAAGAGTTCATAGTTTTATTCGAAACTTCTCGAACATTCATGCCGCTAAATGTAATTAATACAGTTTAATTAAAAACAGAGCATTTATTTGAATAAATTATATCTATAAAAATCATGTATAAACAGAAAATATTTATATAGATAGAGAAACAGTGCCAGTGTTATATATATATATATATATATATATATATATATATATATATATATATATATATATATATATATATACTAAGCTTTATATATATTTATATATGTGTGTGTGCGCGCGCGCATGTGTATAAATGTGTCCCGAAATAAATTAGACAAAAAACAGTAATGTAGATATTTCATCGATTTAATTTTGGGACGTCTTCGTATGCATGTGAATAGATGTTTGCTTGTTTATTTGGCTACCTTTCTCTTCTGTTTTTCTTCCGTTTCACCACTACAAGCCCACCCTCTCTCCAACCCCGTGCCAACGTGCAATTCGGATCTTGTTAATCCTGCTATATATAGTTGAACTGCCTTAGTAGGACGCACAGTTGGAAAAGCGACTCCACCGAAAACTTCGATGTTTCTTTCGTTCGTTCTTTCTTTCTTTCCTTGTTTCCTTCATTTCTAACTTCGCAATCTGTAGATATAAACCTTTCTTCTCTGTATCTCTTTCTCATTTCCTACGCTTTCTTGCCAATTGATCGCATCTCGCAACATCGAGTTTCGTAAAACGCCGTCACTAATCCAACGTCTCTTCGCATGAGTCGCTTACTCGATACGCCAATCCGATTAATGCGGAGAGTGCATTACATTGCTAAATTGTTTGCTCAGGGCATTGCCGAAAATACCTACCCTCTCTCAAGCCCATCTATTCCATCTTTTAATTTTCCTTATCGCTTTTACAGTTTCTCCATAACTCTCTCTCTCTCCCTCTCTCTCTCTCTCTCTCTCTCTCTCTCTCCCCTCTCTCCCTCTCTCTCTATCTCCCCTCTCTCTCTCTGTATCGGAATATATTTTGTCTCTTCTTCCCCCTCTTTACGTTTCTCTGTCCTCACCAGTTTTCAGTTAAGTAACTAAACATTAAATAGTTATTGTTTTTCCATGTTCGTTCGAGCGTAGTAAAATGTGTTGGCTGTTTTGTGTAAAAAAAACACAGGAAATGCGTGCATGTAATTCAGTTTATTCACAAGCATAAATACATACTTATCTATCTATCTATCTATCTATCTATCTATCTCTCTCTCTCTCTATATATATATATATATATATATATATATATATATATATATATATATATATATATTTTTCAAGAATATTTTTACAAACTTTGGGGGCGGGTTACTCACACTAAACAAGGACAAAACTCCATATGCCCGCAAATTCTTCGTTTTTAAGTTAAGTTTAGAGTCTGAAAACGAAATCTGATACAGCCGAGCAGCTTCGCGTCCATTACCATTCGTACGGCCGTATGTAAAAATAATATCCGCCTACTCAAAATATGAATATCCTGCAATTGTTAAACGGAACACATCTCAGTTAATTTACTACTACACACTTTAAACGGTGCAGAGAAACTAGCCACAAATTACAAATGTCACATTTTTTACATAGCAACACAGTGCTATCTACCATAAAGTTTCTTTAAACTTAACTCAAAATTAAGGATTTGCGGACATATGTTTATATGAATATTTGTTCTTGTTTAGTGTGAGGAACCAGCCCATAATGGTTGTAAGTATATATATATATATATATATATATATATATATATGGAACACTTCGACGTTGTATAATGATTAGCAAGATTGTTTCGAAAATTTAATTAGGACGGAATAGTGAACATTCATCCTCACTAGGTTCTCCATTCTCTTGGCCTTGTGGCACAACTAAGCTGTGCTTAGTAAATCGCTATTATTGGACAACGTGCTGTGGTGTAATGGTTAGCAAGCCTGTCTTGCTAAAACAGTTACGACTGAACACTGAGTTCGATCATCACTGCGTGAATGATATATATATATATATATATATATATATATATATATATATATATATATATATATATATATATATATATATATATATATATATATATATATATATATATATAAAAATTTTATGACAGAAATAAAAGTGTAAAACTAAATATTACTAGACATATTAAAAACAGGCTAAGCAACCGGTTTCGATCCCGCTTCAAAGGGAGATTCAATTTAAATTAAAACACAGAAAATGTACAATAAAAATGGAGGTGAGGTAAAAAAATGAGCAAAAGGAACTAGAGACAAATGACAGCGAGCCCCAACAAACAAACACGTTGTTTGCACAAAGAAGGCTTGCGGGACCCGATGTAAAGTGCCTCCAGAACCTTTAAATGAAATAAAGAGTGTGACCGGGACAACACGGTGAACCAGTCAGTACTAAATTTGGTCGCACGCTCTCTGCTATTTAATAGGTGGCGTAACCATAGGTGTTCGGGACGAGTCCATTCAACGGCAAGGTATGATTTCCACACTTCCTTTTTATTGTACATTTTCTGTTGTTTTAATATATGTCTAGTAATATTAAGTTTTACACTTTTATTTCTATCATATATATATATATGTGTGTGTGTGTGTGTGTGTGCGTATAAAGATTTAGATACGACTAAAAATATATCTGTAAAAACAATATGAACAAAGACAAACGAAGATATTATCTTAGTGTTTCGTTATATTATGTTACATTATCTATGTGTTTCGTCTTCTGATGGTAAATGTAAGGATTTTATTTTACCCAAACTATGTATAAACTGAATTAAAAATATTAGTTTTTCATAATTTTTACTTTTAAAAACGCTCATAAATATACATATGACTAATCGGAAAGTCAAGCAAAATCACAGAATATGCTAAGTGAAGTAATTTAATGTGTAATAAACAAATGTGGGAAAAATGCTGTTATGGAATGTTTTTAATAATGTACTTATTATTTATACTGGTGTACCAGTCAGTTATCTGCCATGCATGATACACGTTTCGGTAATCATGTGTCTTTCGATATATGACTGACGAGGCAGATTTTTTTCCGCTGTAGGTTGTCATTTCTCTCTGTGGTAGACCAGTTGCCATCCAAGGCTATAGAACCCAGTCAGGTATTTACCCAGAAGAAAAGGAGAAGAGGATTCATAACTTTCCCAAGGGTATTAGCACGTAACGGATTCGACTGGAATTCGAACTCGCCTCTCCGATTCCTCAATCCGAGCCGCTATCCATTATTCCACCCTGCCTTAAAAATGGCGGTAATTATTGCAAGATTTTAACAGTGAGATGCAATGAAACAAAAGTCTTGGAATAATATACTGGGATTCAATAAAGCAGAGACAATGATTCACAACGAAAATAGGAGACCAATGAACTGTTTAAATAAATAACCTGTTCCTTTTATTTATTTATTTTTTAGACATTCAGTGCTATCGATGAGTGATACCTTATGTTAAAAATTATGTATTTCGTATAACAGTAAAAGGAAAATATCTCTCAGGAGAAAAAAGATTACCAACAGAACGAAGCCTAGTTCAAAACCAAGTTGAAGCAAGATGATCACTTAATAGACAAAGATATCTGAGTGCCTCACATGAAAGGCTTGAACAAAAATTACTGCAATCTAAGAAACGTAGGAGTAAAGAAACTGATTAATTACTCATAAATTAAACTGATTTATCGCCTTCCGCTACAGATAGAACAGGAATATAAATAAATAGCAATTTATAATTATTATATGGTTGGATTATTTGAGTTAGTTTTATTTTAGTTTGTCATTAATTTATGTATTATATATTATAAATAATAATAATAATAGGTTTTAAATTCAACCCATTTCTTTATAAATAGTTATGTATGATCGCTAGGGATACGAGAATTTCTTCTTGGAAAGGGGATATTTGAAGTATCCCGAGCCCTACAGATTCGATTCGATAGCAGTTCTTTTAAGTAAGTTTCCTATAAGTTCCATTTTCTTTTTTCTTTTGTCTTTATACACACACACACATACATACATATATATATATATATATATATATATATATATATATATATATATATATATATATATATATAATGCGTTTTCCCGTCGTTTCTGACGTATTGGTGTTTCTTTCAGTTCGGTTTTTATGTTTGTGCTTCGTATGAGACAACAATCCTTCACTGGATTTGCAAACAAGACCGCACAAGGGACATGCTCAAGGGTTGACCGACACATGGGCAGATGTATTAGCTCGAGATTTAATGTTGGTTCTTAATTCTTTCAGATGATTGAGACGATTCCGTTAAAACTTAATTATACCCCGGTAGCAGGTATTTCTCCAGTTTGTTCGGTTTTCAACAGCAAGTTCCAACACCTCTATAGGGATGTTTGCAGTATTTAAATTGTATTTAAGTTTGTCTTTGAGGCGTAACTAAGTACAGCCTATATTACGCTTACCATGAAAAAGTTGGCTATACATGAGGATTTTCGGCATGACATGACCAGCCCATCAGTGATTGCATCAGAAACGATTTGATACAACCGACACTAAATTTGATGAAAAAATCAGGGTAAGAGATTTTGCCCTGCCGTCTATAATTGCATATTGAACGAAGACAGTGTTTATGAAACAACACCGGGTTGATTGATGTGTGCCCTGTATGACGTCCACGATTCTGAACCATAAATAATTATGGTGAGAATGACTGCTCGATGGGCAGTGATTTTCGTTTTCAGTGAAATCACACGAACATTCCATAGACCATGCTTCCTAAAGGAATATATATATGAGGAAACGATATATAAATGTTTATATATCAGAAAATTTTTACGAAAAAATCCTATTTTGCTTAAGAGAAAAAAAAATTTACTATGACATAAATGCATAGAAATTGTTTTTAATGATCGATCACACACAGAAAATATACCTTCAGGTTCTTACATTTCATTTTTCTTAGCCGATCTTCTATTATTAAAATTATTATTAAAAATTATTATTAAAATTTGTTAAGATTTATTAAAATTATTATTAAAATATTACTATTAAATTATTATTCCATTATTAAATTACTATTGAATTATTATTAAAAATTATTATTAAAAATTATTGAAATTTTCCATATATATTAACCAATGTGATAAAAACGTAACAAAAAAAAATCGAAATTAAATGAAATAGGCAAGACTATATACCCAATAGATACATTCATTTTTTTTAAATACACCTCCCCTCCTCAGCATGTGCATGCGTAATCATATGTGTATACACAAACACGCATTTAAGAAAAAAATAAACTTAAAGTATAAACTGTATATTCTACACGTGTGTAATTATGCAAACGTAAACATCTTTTTCGCCCGATGATGTCCTAGACGGCGAAACACGTCGCATGAAAATGTTTTTTTACGCTTTGTTATTGATTTTCTAAAAAAATTTTCATGATATATAAAAATTTATATATCGTCTTGCCATAGATATCTAGGTAGGTAAATTGATATATAAATAGACTACGATAATATAGATTGGCAGGTAAATGACTGTTTCTAAAATTAAAATTAAAAAAAATAATTTTAATTGAAAAGCTAAATATTCCTTCTACTTCATGCACATGTGTAATCACATTAACGTAAACATTACTTTATTGGGAATATATATATATATATATATATATATATATATATATATATATATATATTATATTATATTATATTATATTATATTAGTAAACACACAACTTTAAGTGTTCATGGGGATTATAATTTTTTTTTCCTTAGAATCGAAATTCGTTTCTAATTCCTCAGATCAGCAAGTTCAAATCTATGGAAATAAATTATAATCACCAGGAACCCTTAAATTTGTCTGTTTCTTAATATGATTAATATTTGCTATGTTTTTTACATTGAGCTCTCTGGATTATACCCTCCCTGGAATTATCTATACGTATTAACAAACACGTCTTTATCTTTATTTACTTATATATATATATATATATATATATATATATATATATATATATATATATATATATTATAAATTAATTGATTTAAAATATGTTTTTTTCCTTTACGCAGTTCTAACCATGTTTCAAAAATGGAAGCTAGAAGCCCCGAATTTAATTTTGTAATTAAATTAAAGACATTAGTTCTATTTCATCCTCAAGCGAATTTTGGAGTAACTTTTAAAATTACTGGGTTTTAAATACACAGCTAAAACAAAATTCATGTTTCCAAGGTTACAGATAAATCTATTTTTCTAGACAGGGGTGTCTACGTGTTCAATATGTCTATATTTTAATGTATCAGTTATTGTTACTTTTGGTAGTGGGTAGGGGTGTATTTTTCAATGAAATCTAACTTCCGTTAAAAGCGTGTCGTCTGTATTTTTTTATTTTCTTTAAAATTTATATTGTTAACAGCTAAAATTCTTACGGCATAAATGCTCTATAATCTTAGAAATAACAGTGCTCAATGTTAAAAAAAATAATTTAATATATCTATTTTAATATATCTATTTTAAGAATTATATATAATAACTTACGTGGATTCCTCGTCGGGGTGTAATGGTTAGGAAGTTTGTCTCGCTAGATCAGTTACGACTGAAAAGTGAGTTCGATCCTTACTAGGTACCCTATGATTTCGGCTTTGTGCCACATTTAAGCTACGCTTAGAAAATAATCACATGTTGGGCACCTCTGCGTAGTGTAATGGTTAGCAAGCTTGTCTCGCTAAAACTGTTACCGCTGAATAATGAGTCCGATCCTCACGAGGTGTCCCCCAGTTTCGGCCTTGTGCCACATCCAAGCTACGCTTAGAAAAACAATATAATACCTTACATTAATTGCACAACTCCGAGTTTCCTTTGTGCGCGTGCGCGGACGCCAGTGCTTGTGTACACGCAAAAATGTGAATACCTGTTCTTCGGGTCCGAAGAAGAAGGCTTCTTTTTTTTTTTCTACAGTTCCTTGAAGAATCTGGAACAGTGTGGGCATGGAAATTCTATTGATGCAGTCACCGTTTATTTAGCACTGTGGTGTTGTTTTCCGGCGGTGCTGAGTCTTTGAGGTCGGCCTCCTCAAAATTGATTGGGTTGCCAACGTGAACGTTTTCCGGCATGCTTATCCAGCTGATTTTTGTTTGGTTTCAATGGAATCATCGCAGCTATTAATTTATTCTACCTGGGTGTCGGTGTCATTTGCCAGATGCCAGCTCTCGATACGGAATATATCTTGAAATGAGAGAGTCACATTATCCCAATGCAAGCATATTCCCACTTTGCATTTTTGCCTTGCGCCTTTTTTTCTGACATGCATTCAAATGTTAGATATTTTATTACCCATACAAATATTTGTCTACAGCATTACACGATCAAGCAATGGATTGTGGCTCGGAATGAGGAATCGGAGAGCCGTGTTCGAATTCCAGTTGAATTTATTATAATCACTTACCCTTGAGAATGCATTCGTTCTCCCCTCAACTATGGATAAATAGCATGACAGACTGGGTTCTGTAGCCTTGTGTCGTAATCGACCTAGAAGAACAATTTTGAATTCAAATCGGCTTGGTGTCTCGCTGTGGACTTGTATGCAAGTCATTAGCGGGGCTACAGATTGACCGAGTAAGCTTGTCGGATATATATATATATATATATATATATATATATATATATATATATATGTGAAAATATATAGAAAATAGGAAGGAACTGGTTAGGTAAATAGTCCAAAGTTCCTTAGTATTTTTGTTATTATTTTTAAAAATAGTGCTCGATACAAAAGTAGAGCATAAATATAATTATTTATTTAAAATATGATTCCAAATCGCTACATAAGAGGTCTCATGTTTCAAAACAAAAGCCGAAAACTTCAATATAATCTTTTAAATTAAATTGAGTTGAAATTAAAAATTATCCGTTCCATCTTCAAGCGAGTTTTTTGTTGGAATAACGTATATCTGAAATTTACTTGTTTTAAAGTTGAAATCAAAATCACCATGGTAACAGTTAGGGCGAATTGTCTAAAAAGATGGGTAGGCGAGTGTAAAAGTTTAATGATGAGTGGCGGTATAGAATACTTTCAAGGTGTCAAGTCGGGGGAAGGTGGGGGTGTTAGAAAAGAAACGAAGATGTATTAAAAAGCTTTCGTCAAGTTGGCTTGTCTATGGAGATATATTTATTTATTTTATTTTATTTTATTATGAAAGGGAATTGTGCTTATAAAAAAGAAAAAAAAACTTTCGTGGCGTTTGTTTTTTGACGACTTCATAAAGGGTTATCTTTTTTAGGTTTGTATTTAAACTACTAATTTGGGCTATGTATTATGAAGATGTTATGTTGTATGCAAGTTGGTAAATAATTTCTACTATGAATCTGATGATTGGGTTATTTGTTAAACAAGTTATATAATTTTTTTTTTTTTTTTTTTTTCAAACCAAAAATCTGATGATGCCTACTTGTATATTTATATATATATATATATTTATATGAATAAAATATTTTATGACAAATTCCTATGAATATATATATATATATATATATATATATATATATATATATATATATATATATATATAAAATACCAGTTGGTAATTGGTGGAGCTAAATCCAAGGAGGACCTTAATCCAAAGAGAACTCAATGCAAGTAACACCGCCTCCCTTACCCTGTATATTAAATTGTTCGGCCCTTTAAGGAAAAAAATTATTTCTAGGTCAATCTATCGGCTCATATTTAATTCTTCCTTCTTTTCTTCCCCCCTCTCTCTTTCTCACTCTCTCTCACTCTCTCTCTCCCTCTCTATCTCTCTATCTCTCTCTATCACTGTCTCTCTCTTTTTTGAAATTTTATATTGACATTTTATTTGTCTTTTTACCTCTATTATTTTTGTCTGGGCAATTTGATTTCATGTTTTTAAAAAAAAATGTTCGTTCTGAAGAGATGGATATTTAAATATATTTATGAAATAAATTATAACCGTTATGGATTTTTAAGGATTGTCTTTATATATATATATATATATATATATATATATATATATATATATATATATATATATATATATATATATATATATATTTGTTTGAATAAAAAAGACAAAAGGAAAGCTATTTTTTGCCAACGGGTTTCGTCCTCAGAGGGACTTTATCAAGGCAAAGTAAGGGTTTATTTTGTTGCATGTGTTTATATACGAAAGCTAGGATGTCGTTTTTAACTTTCATGAATATACATGAGGTGGCTGAATGTTCAGTAAAAGTATGTGGACGACATAAAACTCTATATTACAATGTCCGCTACGACAAAGGTGAGCTAGTAATATTCAAGATTGTATATATATATATATATATATATATATATATATATATATATATATATATATATATATATATAAAAAAAATTAATATATGCACAGACACACACACACATATATATATATATATATATATATATATATATATATATATATATATATATATATAATAAATGAATATTGTATACATTTTGATCAGATTGTTATGGTTTGGGATAGATGCATGTGTTGTACGTCTTCAAAAAAATTTTAACTGTTTTCTTCTCATTTTTTAAGATGTTGGCTTCGGAAAGTAATAATTCTTTCAAGAAAGTCGAGATTGGAAATATATTTTGATAAGTTTCCGTAGCGGCACTCTCGGCTAGAAAAAAATAGTTTTTCCTTCTGTCTTTTTATTTATATTGTTCCTTCACAGATACACTCTATCTGAAACAAATTACATATAAAACTTTAGAAGCGCTTAAAAATATTCTCTCTGCTTCACTGTTGCTGCTGTAGTTTCCAAAAATGGGTTTTACGGGTAGAATTCCTAGCCCCACTACCAACCTGCTTTGAATTCAGTATCCCTTCTCTTAGAGTGGCTACCACAGCTATAATGCCCAGTCTGCCCTGCTATTAACTTCTGGCTGGAAAGAGAAGAGATAGGTTCAGCCGAAAGGTAACAACCTCGTTTTGAATTTGAAATGCACACACCCAGCCACCTTCTGCGCCGACATCTTGCTACGCTACACGACTGCTTTAATCCATATTTCGGCATTGATAATTCAAACAAGTTTCACTAAATTTCACCAATAAGGTCTGACTGTATTATTATTATTATTATTATTATTATTATATATATATATATATATATATATATATATATATATATATATATATATATATATATATTGGTTTTTGCGTCTTTCAATTTTTTCAAATACGTTGTATCACCTCCGATTCAAGTTTGTGGATAAACAATACAAAGTTGATGTTTCTTCTTTCATATTTCTCCTGCTACAGCCATTATCAGAATATAATGTTACCATTATCGCAGAGAAAAGAATAAAATATTTTATATCATAATTTGCCAATCTATGACAATCTCTTCTCCACATGACATCATTGATGCGATGCACGCATCTTTGGTATGTAACATGCCAAAAAAGTCCGGAAGCAGCAAACAAACTGTTGCATATATACTGGCAAAATTTCGTTCGTGATAATGGCCGAGTCTCTCGAAATTACTCAAACAAAAAGAAAACAGAAACATAAACATTAGTAACAAAATATTTGATCGCGATATTCAACTGTTTATTCGAAAATTGGACAAATTCCATAAAACGGTAAACAAAGTGAACTTTAGAGTTTCATTAATCCTGTTCGATATTTACATTATGGTGCATCTATACAAATCCAACTGTATTTACACCTTGTAAATGTTGAATTTAGCTGGTTGGAACTATGAGTTTATATATATATATATATATATATATATATATATATATAATATATATATATATATAAATATAAAAGAACAGTAAAATATATAATCCGGTGTTCATATAGATATTTTATTTTTACAAAATAGTGCTCAATGTAAATTTACAGAGCATTAATATTATAAATTAATGATTTAAAATATGTTTTTTTTACTTCACAGTTCTAACCATGTTTCAAAAATGGACGCTGAAACCTCCGAATTTAATTTTGTAATTAAATTTAAAGACATTTATTCCATTTCATCCTCCAAAAATCGCTTGAGGATGAAATGGAACAAATGTCTTTAATTTAATTACTAAATTAAATTCGGATCTTTCAGCTTCCATTTTTTAAACATGATTACAACTGTGTAGCGAAAAAAAACATATTTTAAATCAATTAATTTATAATATATATATATATATATATATATATATATATATATATATTTTGAAAAATACCTTTAAATGATCTTTTTTTTCAGGAAAACAACTAAAAGCCGCACTTGCCAAGGCAAGTAACGGAATCATAAAAAATGTTTATTTTCTGTAACTTGTTACATATCCTTTACGATATATAACCTGACAGATGTACTCTGACAATGTTTCTACCAATCTACACAATTAATCAATGTCTACTGAAAGTCATGCATCTTGTATAGAATTTTTTTCAACTCTTAGGTTGAATTGTATTTATGACCACCTTCGTCTAGTTTACCGGCTAGGATACCACAGGAGATAATAACAGGAATACAGTCAGGGGATCGTGCAGGTTAACGAATGACATCAATGTTGTGTTTCTAAAAGAATTCTGTTTTGCTTTGTACCTGATGGGTTGGAGCATTGTCTAGGCAGGACTTCCAGCTAGCTCCGGCGATTTCGTTTGCATAAGGAAGGAAGGCACCTGAGAAGCACTTTTTAAAATATTTAGCCGCATTCAGTTCAGCGCTGGTGAAAGCTCTCGGTAATTTTCCAAATTGTCAAAAGTTGTCCAGAACATTAGTTTTCCATGCCTGTCGGGTATCTTTGTTAGTAAGGTGTGCCAAGTTGGGGATCGATACTATTCAAACAAAGAATTGAAAAAGTGAAACAGTTATTTGAAGAAACAAATCTACGTGGTGTATGTATATAAAAACCCATAATATATTGTTTAATCAATTAAATTCCCGTCCTAGGTATGACGATAAACTACGTCTAACAGCAAGGCATCTGATCAGGAGGTTTTGAGGTGCGTAGAACAACCTGTTAATTGCTGGTGTTCCCAAGTCCACTCTGACTCGGGGTGGTAGCATCTGCTAGGGTCCCAGCTATGGGCAAATAGTTAACCCCCAAACTGGGGTCAAAAAATTATGAAAGTTTAAAAATAAGTCTTAATACCAGAAATACTTAGTAAAAAGATTATTACCAGCAATACATTTTAGGCAACAAAATCTTACCGGCAATACTTTTTTGAAAAAAAATATTATCAGAAATAGATTTTTTGAAGGAAAATATTACTAGCAATACATGTTTGAAAAAAAAATATTACCAGCAATAAAAAAAAATTGTCGACATTATTTAACCCATTGAGGCTGATATGCCGTAAAACAAACCAAACCAAACCAAACCAAACAAATTAAATTCATTAGTAATAAGTTGTGAGTTCAGCTGGTTTAATATTTACGAAAGCCCTCACTTATTGAATATCGATAGTATGTTTTCGTTATACGAGGTGTTTGTACCTCTGAATAGAAATATGAAGGCAGCTGATGCTTATTAGTAATCTGCCTACTGAGTCAGTCTGCCAATGGGTTTCATGGTATCTGTTTGTGATTGACAATAGGCAAGATTTGGTAACGTTGTCTTGGAGCATGGCGCAAAAATTCAAACGAAATGACGCCATCGAATGTTGCCTGATGCTTGGCAAATCGCCTACCAAAAACCTTGAAATGTTTCCCCAGGCTTTTGGCAAATATTATTTCGGTAGAAAATAGGTGTTTTATCTGATAAGCTTCATTTTGTACTTTGTTCTCTTTAAATGCTCTCACCCTTCAAGCCACAAGCGACTGTAGCTTTATACTTAGAATCAGAAAGTTACATGTACAATTTATAGAGCCCATAATGAGGAAAGAGGACTTGGTGAATTTGACACGTACAGGATATTTTGAAGGTAAGAATGACAGAGGAAGGCAGCGAATAAACTACCAAACGAATTTGTGTGAATGGTTGGCAGAACAGGGATTAGGAGAGGGAGCAAAACGACACTAGGACCGGAAGTTAAGGAGAGTCATGATCTGCCATATCCTGAAGGGCCACGGCACATAGAAGAAGCATGCATCGAACATCTTCTTGGAAAATTAGACTTAGAAAATTAGAATATTCCAATTATGATTGGTTAGTTTGTTGGTTGGCTGGCTTGACATCATGGGAAATCACTTATTTGTATTTTCTTCTCTTTTATCATTTTGCGATTCCTCTCCTCAATTTTATTTGTTTTCTTTTTTCTTGTACTTGTTCTTCTATTAATCCTCTGTTACGTATGATATCTTCTCCTTCTTCTTCTTCTTCTTCTTCTTCTTCTTATTATTATTATTATTATTATTATTATTATTATTCGTCGATTTTTTAAAATTCTTCAGCATTTTCTCATCTTCTTTATCTACTTCAGTTTTTTTTCATCATTACTTCATTTTTATTGTTGTTGTTTTGCTTCATTGACTTCTCTTTCTTCTTTTTCTTTTCCAAGATTTCTTCTTCTTCTTCTTCTTCTTCTTCTTCTTCTCATTATTATTATTATTATTATTATTATTATTATTATTATTATTATTATTAATATTCAGTTTTTTCACCTTCTTTATCTTCTATAATTGCTTTCATCATTTCTTCTTTTCTGTTTTTCTTTTAATTCTTTCTCTTCTTTTTCATTTTCATAATTTCTTCTTCATCGTCTTCTCATTATTGATTATTATTATTATTATTATTATTATTATTATTATTATTCAGTTTCTTCTTAACTTCTTATTCTGCTTTTCCCTATTTTTCATTTGCTTTGTCTATTCTATTTTATATCATAATTGTTTTCTTCTTCTTCTTCTTCTTCTTCTTCTTCTTCTTCTTCTTCTTCTTCTTCTTCTTCTTCTCCTCCTCCTCCCCCTCCTCTTCTTCCTCTTTTACAATCTATATTTTATTGTCGTTAATTTTATTGTCTGTAATTTTTGGTTCTTTTTTTTTTTCATGACGCCTTCTTCTTCCTCTACATTTATTTTTATTTGAGTACATCTCAAATCCCAAATCCTGAATAAATATATCAAATTATATTTAGTAATAACAAAAATGCGTTTTTTACTCTCTCTTCTTTTTCCCCAATATGAATTATTTTCCGACGAAAAATAAAATCAGAAATATGTAATTATTTCTTTTAAACTTGAAGATATCTTGAAAATTCGCATCATTTAAAATCTTTGTTCCTACTAACACTTGTCTTCCATTCTGATTCACAATCTGCTTTTTAATTTAACTCTTTAACTTGGGAAAATAACATTACCGCTATTTTAAAAGGCTTCAAATGTCATCGTCTGTAATCCTCTTTTCAAACTATGACCACTCTCAAATATCAAATATAATTCAAAGATTAAAAAAAAAAACAGAAAAAAAACCTCTTGCTTTTGGAAATCTATTCCGGTTTCTTGCTTCCCAGACAATTCTGACCTTCAAAACTTCTTGATTCTTGCTCTTTTATTGATCTCTCATAATATTATTTTTTCTCATATTCCCTAAAACTCAGTAACCTCTTTTTTTTCCGTCTGAGTGGCTTTATTGCCTTGGTGTGAAATGATTAAAAAAAAAAAAGAACAATATTTATTCAGTTGATGTCTTATCGTTCTTCCATGTCTTTTTTTCAGAGTTACGATCTCAGAATAGGATGATTTTCTTTCCATATCGGCTCTGCGAATACCGATTTATTGGTTTCCAGATCTTCTCAATGTTAACTTCAAAAGCGCGCTTACTCACGCCCTTATTAGTCTCTGCCGGAATAGCATGTGATAGTTCCACACACACACACACACACACACACACACACACACACACACACACACACACACATATATATATATATATATATATATATATATAGCAATGGATTGTAGCTCGGAATGAGGAATCGGAGAGCCGAGTTCGAATTCCAGTCGAATTTATTATAATCACTTACGTGCTATTACCCTTGAGAATTCATTTCTTCTCTACTCAACTATGGATAAATAGCATGACAGACTGGGTTCTGTAGCCTTGTATGGTAATCAGTCTAGAAGGACAACTTTGAATTCAAATCGGCTTGGAGCCTCGCTGTGGACTTGTATGCAAGTCACTAGCGGGACTATAGATTGACCGAGTAAGCTGGTCGGATCCCCATACGTCCAAGTTGACAGGAGAGTTCATTATATATATATATATATATATATATATATATATATATATATGGACTCTATGTATATTTGTATAAATAAAAACACAAATTTCTATGAATATATATATATATATATATATATATATATATATATATATATATATAAATACCAATTGGTAATTGGTGGAGCTAAATCCAAGGAGGACCTTAATCCAAAGAGAACTCAATGCAAGTAACACCGCCTCCCTTACCCTGTATATTAAATTGTTCGGCCCTTTAAGGAAAAAATTAATTTCTAGGTCAATCTATCGGCTCATATTTAATTCTTCCTTTCTTTTCTTTCCCTCCCCCACTCTCTCTTTCTTTCTTTCTCTCTCTCTCTCTCTCTCTCTCTCTATCTATCTATCTATCACTGTCTCTCTCTTTTTTGAAATTTTATATTGACATTTTTATTTCTCTTTTTTCCTCGTTCATTATTTTTTTCTTTTTCCTTTTCCTATCTTTTGTCCTCTCCCTCTTTCTTTTGTCTGGACAATTTGATTTCATGTTTTAAAAAAAAATCTTCGTTTTGAAGAGATGGATATTTAAATATATTTATGAAATAATTTATAACCGATATGGATTTTTTAAGGATTGTCTTTATATATATATATATATATATATATATATATATATATATATATATATATATATATATGTGTGTGTGTGTGTGTGTGTGTGTGTGTGTCTGTCCCTGGTCTCAGACAGTTATATACCCAGGTATCACTAACAGCTTCTTCGTATCTATCTATCTATCTATCTATCTATCTATCTATCTATCTATCTATCTATCTATCCCAATCTGTTTTCGATCTTGTTCAGTCTATTTAAGTCTTCGTTTCTGTTTTTCCCATTCATCCTCAATCCAACGCCATTCTTATTTGTTGTTCTCTCTTTGTATTTGCTTTGCTTCTCTTCTTGATTTCCACACTTACAGCTCACGGTCGAAAAATACAGAAGTCGGCAAATTGCCTGCTCCGTGGATACAGCCCTCTACCCAAAGTCAGTCTTGTTTGTTTATTTTCGTTGTTCGCTTGTATCACAGTTTGCTGATTGTTTCGTAGCATTCTTTGAAAGGGAGAGAGAGAGAGAGAGAGAGAGAGAGAGAGAGAGAGAGATGGCGAAGGTAGGCGTGGAATATTTTAGCTTGATTTTATCTTCGTTTTATATAAGTGATTCTTTTTCTTTGTGTGTGTGTTTTCCTCTATTTTTACTTGTATTGTTTGTGTTACTTCCTCGAGCCAAGTTCAAATTTACGGTTTGTGCCCTCAAAAGAAAAGAAAAACATCGGGAAAGACAAAAAACAAAACAAAAAATACGAATAAAAGTATATACAGAACTTGGTCATACAAAACTATATCAAAACACACACACACACACACACACACACACACACACACACATATATATATATATATATATATATATATATATATATATATATATATATATATATATATATATATGTGTGGGAGGTGAGAAAGAGAAAAGGAAATAGTGTAGACGTATGTATAAGATATATGTACGGGTACAAGATTTCACATTCTCTCTTTGAATATACATACGAATATAAATAATTTAAATCCATATATTTACGCATACACACGCACACGCGCGCGCACACACACATACACATATATGCATGCAAATCTATAAATTTTTGTTAAACTTTATTTCTATTCATGTCAGAGTATTTAGTCATATAGATATGTGTGTGTTTGTGCGTGTGTCTGTGTGTATGTGTGTGTATGTATATGTATATATCATGAGAGACAGACACTGACACTTGTACATTTTCAGTAGGTTTTTATATATGTATACAACTGTATGTTCATATATATCAATTGTTTGTGTCTTTTGGGTGAGATGTTTTACAAGTTTGTCTTATTTTAGTGTGCACTACATATTGTTAAAAACTAAATATAACAATAAACTTATATAAGAAAAAAAACGGAAAATGGCAAGGAAGTACTGACATTCAACCAATTTCATTATCGAGTTATGTTGTCGGCCATGTTGAGTCACGAGGCGAAATCTTGGCGCGAAATGAAACGAGAAAATAAAATGCAAACAGCCAGCACAGAATGACAAGAAGTAACAGCAGACGATTTGCTATGAGCTTTAAAAGGGTTTGAAATGCTGTGATCGACGTGTATAGAAAGAGTTGTGTTCTGAAGAAATGGTCTTCGCTCTAAGTAAATGCAGAAAGAAGTAAATAATTAAATAAAGGAAGTGCCTCTTACAGAAATGAGAAAATGACGATGAAAAATGGTTATGGTGAAAAGAAATCCTTCAAATGTTGTTGAGATTAGATGAAATAAGTGACAAATAATCAGGGTACAAATATATGATTCGCATTTCTTCTTTTTATTTTCATTTTATTTTATGTTTTTGCTTCCAATGATGAAAGAGAAAGCAATTTTTAAAGACTTGTATAGAATGAAAAAATCTTTACAGTACAGTAAAGAATAGAAGAATCTTTAAAAGAACAGTAAACTAGGAAGCTTATACTTAACATAAGGAAGAGAAAGCTGAAATTTCTGGGACAGGAAGGAGGACCTGGAGAATTTGATACTCACGGGTCGAATAGATAAAAAGGGAAAGCAACGCATGACATACATGGCGAGCTTAAACAAGTGGATGGCTTAAGTGGAGAGCTACAAGAGATAGAGGGAAGTGGAGAGTCATGATCAACTACGTCCGGAAATGACACGGCACATAAAAAATGAAAAAGAAAATAAGAACTGAATGGTGTTTAACGAACTTAAAGAATGTTTAAAGAATAGAATAATATTTAAAGAACAGTTAGGAATAGAAGAATGTTTAAAGAATAGAATAATATTTAAAGAACAGTTAGGAATAGAAGAATGTTTAAAGAATAGAATAACATTTAAAGAACAGTTCGGAATAGAATAATGTTTAAAGAACAATAAAAATAGAACAATTTATATAAGCAGTAAAGAATAGAATCATATTCAAAAAAATAGTAAATAATAGAATAATGTTTAATGATCATTAAAGAACATAAAAATGTTTAAAGAACAGTAAAGAATGGAAACTATCTAAAGAATAAAAGAATTTTAACGAATAGTAAAGAATGAAGTACTATTTAATGAATAAATAATAGGGAATAAAAGAATGTTTAAATGAATGGAAAATGTTTAAAACAAGTAGGGAATAAAACTGTTTAAAGAATACTAAGGAGTGAAAGAGAATAAAGAACCAAAATGCTGATAGAATTAATGTTGAAAGTTTTAAACATAGAAGCAGGAAAGAATTTGAGCAATTCGAAGACGAAAATTAGGTTCAGGTTTTACTATATAAAAATGTTTAAAGAATACTAAAGAATAAAAGAATGCTTAAAGAATACTAAAGAATAAAAGAATGCTTAAAGAATACTAAGGAACGAAAAATGTTATGAATATTGAGTTAAAATATAATGTTTAAAGAAGTGTAAGGAATTCGTTAATACATAAAAAGGGATACGAAAATGTTTAAAGAATAGTAAGGAATTAGAAGGTATGGTAGAGTAATAGATATCGGCTCGAATTGCGGAATCGGAGAGCAGATTTCGAATTCCAGTTGAATCCATTACATTCAATTACGTACTAATACCCTTGAGAATGGTATGAACCCTCTTCTCCCCCCCCATGGGTAATACCAGGACAGACCGAGATCTATAGCTTTGCATGGCAACTGGTCTATCGAAGAAAAAAATGGCAACCTATTGCGGGGAAAAATCTGCCAGTCATGTATCGAAAGATACATGATCGCCTAAGCGGGTATCACACATAACACATAACTGACTGAATAGTAAAGAATCAAAGAATGTCTAATGAACGCTAAGGCATAAAAGAGGAGGCACGGTGGAGTAATGGATAGCGGCTTGGATTGAGGAATCGGAGATCCGAGTTCGAATTCCAGTCGAATCTATTACATTCACTTACATGCTAATACCCTTGTGAATCCTCTTCTTCTCTCTCCAGCTATGTGTAAATAGGACAGACTGTGTTCTATAGCCTTGGATGGCAACTGGTCTAGGAGAAGGAAAACTCTGAATTCAAAACCTGCGGAGGGTCGTTTAGGGACCTTGTGGCACGTAGTGCACCAGGTCTCTGTAATCGGCCCTTCAAAAAGTGTGGATGGTCCTGCACAAAACCTTCACGAACTATAATCAAACCTCGTGTGCTATACATGCGGGTAGGGGACCGCTTGTGAATTCCAAATTCCCATGAAACTCCAATATTGGAACCGGCTCAACCCACCCCGGGTGAATGCCGGAACAGCTACAGGTACATAAAAGAATTAACGAACAGTAAATAATTAAAGAAGTATGTTAAAAAATCCTACTATGGAATATAATGATATTTCAAATATACGTAAGGGATGAAAGAATGTTTTTAGAATATTAAGAAATTTGCTGTACTTTCTGGCTATTTTGTAATTTTATCTCTCCTAATCCGTGTTCTTCTAACCATTTTTACAAGATCATTAGGAAAAAATATGCGCTGGTTTCCTTTGTCTGTTATTGCCTTCAGCATGTCCTTTGAATGTCAATTTTTCTCAGTCCTCTTCCTCTATAGGAATTTCAACTACCTCTTTCTTATGTTAAATATGTGTCTTTTTTGTTTCCATTTTCTCCAAAACATCGTTGAACCCCTGTAGAACTACATTTCTGTTGGTTGCTTCAAGTCTTTTCTTCATTTGTGAGGAGATTACTGGGTTAGGATATTGTAAAAAGAAATTGTATGTTATTACAGCTACTTTTTTCCATTCCAATAGTAGTGAAATTAATTTGATAGTAATGAACAATAGATAATAGAAAACAGTTATTATCAGTGTCAAGTTAGGCTACCAAATCTAACTGCAAGTTTCAAAGTGTCGACTTAATAGATAAAACATGAAAGTGTAAAAGGTATTAAAATAGAACTGTATAAATAGTAAATGTTCCTTCTGCATCAAAAATAGTTCTATGAAACAGACATGTAAAAGTTACTGTAATATATATTCCTGAAAAGAGGAAATATATTTAACCATGTCAGTTATATATATATATATATATATATATATATATATATATATAGAGAGAGAGAGAGAAAAAGCGAGAGAGAGCGAGAGATTTTTTTTATAGATTTTTTTTTAAAATTCAACATCATCACTTGATAACACACCGGTGGTGTTGAAACAAAATGGCTATTTTTGTAGTGATTTCATAACATATTTATGTTATAATTTTTTAAACAATATATATATATATATATATATATATATATATAGTTATAATTATATATATTATAATTTTTTAAATATATATATATATATATATATATATATATCGACTCTCCCGTCGCGTTCGACGTATGAGGGTCAGGCCGATAAGTCCCCAGGAAACCGACATCCCGACACCGGCACATGAGATTTGATTATAGTGGTGAAGGCCTCGTGCAGGACCAGCCACACTTTTTGGAGGGACGAATACAGAAACCTGGTGCATGCCACAAGGTTCCCAAACGACCCTCCGCAGGTTTTGAATTCAGAGTTGTCCTTCTCCTAGACCAGTTGCCATCCAAGGCTATAGAACCCAGTCTGTCCTGCTATTTTACCCATAGCTGGAGGGAGATGGAGAGGATACATACCTTTCCCAAGGGTATTAGCACGTAAGTGAATGTAATGGATTCGACTGGAATTCGAACTCGGCTCTGCGATTCCTCAATCCAAGCCGCTATCCACTGCTCCACCGTGCCTCCAATATACATATATATATATACACCCTTGTGCAAATTAATTGAAACAACAGTTTCTTTTTTCACCATACGGTCAGTTTTAGACGAACTGGAGTGACAAAGTGTAAACGATTTCTATTTTTTCCGCAGATTACGTCATTTGCAGCGGTGTGCAATAATATGAATCTATTTTCGGGTG